CTATTCTATACATTATCTCCCCCCCAAATACTAGCTACAGAACTGTAGCTCTCTGGTTGACAAAATTCTGACAGACAAACCAGAGAGATACGCACAGATCCAAGCTTTGTAAAAACCTTCAGTTTACGGCGCCGCTTATTATTATTTTTTTTGGTCGCACCTTGGGGGTATTATTGTTTGTGTTTCATATAGGACTTTTGAAAGTTAAGTAAAGTATCATGACTAGGAGTGAAATATGTGGTTAATTAACTGATGTCATGCTTTTAGCTTGGGAACGCATACTAAGTATAATACAAGAAATAATACCTCTAGAAGTTAGGCTATTTTGTTGTTATCCTGGTCTGTCCGTCTGTTACACTATCTGCTTCCTCAAACTACTCTTACATTTTAAACAGTAACCAACTCATCTTTTGGAATATGATTGTTGCCTTGAACATATGTAGAAATTTTTTTTAAATTTTCATTTTTACCCTAGGGGCCAAGTAGGGGTCAAAAACAGGTTTCTCTTCAAAAACTGGTTCCCTGAACTCCTCTTACATTTGTCAAAAAAATGACATTTTTCTACAAAAACCTGGTTCCCTGAACCCCTCTTACATTTTCTGCAGTGATTATAACTCATCTTTGGAATATGATTGTGAGTGTCCTGTAGATGTGCAATGAGGATTTAGAATTTCAATTTTCACCCTAGGGGCGACTGAGGGTCAAAAAGTGTCGATTTTCTACAACATCCTGGTTCCCTGAACTCTTCTTACATTTTTCGAAGTAACCCATTCATATTTTGAAATTTGATTGTGAGTGTCCTGTACATATGTAATAAGGTTTCAGAATTTAGATTTTCACCTTAGGGAATGATCGGGGGTCGGAAAAAGACATTTTCTGCTAAAACTTTGTTCTATTAACTCTTCTTACATTTTTTTGCAGTAGCCAGATCATCTTTTGGGTGGTGATTGGTGGTGTCCTGTAGATGTCCAATAAGGTTTTAGAATTTGGATTTTCACCCTGGGGGCCAGTGGGGCTAAAAAAAATGATGTTTTTTTTTTTTTGCTTTTGGTAAAACTGGTTCCCTGAACTGGTCTTGCATTTTTCACAGCAGCCCAATCATGTTCAGGTATAAGTCTGGATGTGTCCTGTAGATGTGTATTTAGGTTTCGGAATTTCTATTTTCACCCTGGGGAGGATTGGGGACTGAAAAAGGACTTTTTCGTAAATTATAGAATTATTGTGGCTTCTTCCCTTGTTACCCAAATATAGCTTTCAGAATATGAAGATTTCATTCAAAGTGATAATTGTTTAAGTTCATTATAGAATGACAGTTACGGATTTAATAGGGGTGGTGGTATACCCACCTAAAATGGGAAAAAAAACTAAGATAGTTCATGGTTCGTTCTTTGAAGAGAAATTGTTTATAGAGGTGTAAATAATAGGTATTATTTCTACATTTTGGTTCGAGACAGGAGCATTAAAGGGCTTGAATCGTTAATTTTCATCATAATCAATGGGGTCAAGAAATATTAAAAATGTCTAATAAGAAGACTCTACTGTTGCTCTACAAAATTTCTAGAGTCCAAGAGCTTTTCCCCTCCTGGCCCCCCATTAAGGCGGCCCCCAAACCCCCTGCTAATCAACTGGTGCTAACTTTTAATCCTATAGATATGCCCTCGATTATATCCATCAAGTATACATTGGTGTATATATTTTTCTATTTACGTTTAGTTGATTCTGATACATGTCACTCTTAGTTCGAAAAAGAAATCATTTCAGCAGATCTCGATATCTCTTTTACTGTACCGAAAGACGCAGATGTTCTAGTTTAACATACAGTTGGTCCCTGCGTCATCTCTTTGCCAGCTAGTAAATGTGTCTCATATTCAGGTGATACAGTGTCCAAAAGCTCCAGCAAAGACAAATTAAGTAGTCCAGGCAAGAGTAGGGACATTTCCTGTTGACGTCTGGACACTTTACTCCAGCAGTGCATGTATCATACTTAATTAATTAAGATACGGAAATATTGAGTGATTACTAGTATAACTAAATGGTACATCAGCAGATGAAAATTATATTATTGGCAAAAGAAATGCTTCATTATGACTTAAGTCTTTTCATGATTTGATGATCTTTCTTATATGATTACGACTTGAATAAAGTTTCGTGACAGTCTCAAATTTCACTTAAAATACTGGAATACAGTGTAAAAACGCTGTATGACTTAAAAAAAGCAGAGTAAATAGTTACTAACAATGTATCCTTTCAAATAATAACACAATAGTTCTTTTTTTCTTTTGAACCTGTACTTGAGTTGTAGGTTTAATGATGGATAGACGTGATACTATCTTTTTTAACGTTTCCTTTTGTGTGTGTGGGTGGGGTGGGGTGGGGGGTGTTAGAACATGTTGATATTTAATATTAAGAATCCATGTAATTGTTTGATTATGTAACTCCTTTGTCGCATAGTAATTTAAAAAAAAAATAGTAAATCAAATGACAATTTAAAGAATTCTGACGCTTTGAAATGAAAATAATCAACTTTGATACTAAATCGTGCTAAAATTAGTCTTTGTAAATATTTGAAGAGTATTTAAAACATTTATCGACTGGTTTACTTTTCACGATTACATGAACGGGGTGGGACAAAAATAGGCTTAGCAATAAATTCACGAATGTAAACAAAACAATGAAAGCAGAGTTAATTCTAGAAGTATAAAGAGCTATCTAAAGAGTTAAGGTACTTCTAGTTCTCATAACTAAATTCGCAATTTTTAAATTATGCAAAATGGAATTTCCTGGTCTAAATAGTAACAAACATAAACATTATATTTTATTACATTACTTAATAACATTGGGATTTCTAATTCGCGAAATTTGTCCAGATTTGGTGTTATTTTTAATATGACAACAGCTTGTCTGGTAAAAGCGAAGTGTAAAGTAGACTAACAATTGATATAATTGGAATTCAAGCCGAGTTATCACTGAAAACTTAGCACTGCTAAAACGAGATTTGTAAATGATTTGGGAGTGAATGAAGAATGTGAGGAACCAGAAATGACCACATTTTTAAAAAGATGTCTTTAATTAAAACTTCGGCTGCGTATCCGTTGGAAGGGTGCAATAAAAGAAGGCAGAAAAATAACCCAGAGACGACGGGTAACTACGGCGTATACCGTTACTAATATTCTCTCACGATTTCCTTTTTAAAGTATTTAAATTTCACCGAGGCATGAGCTAGAGTCATGGACGGGTCTTTGTATTTCAGCGCTAGTCTCATGTTTTCATGTATAAAGTTTGAATGGGTTGATTTTAGCAAGTGTAAATCCGTTATTCATTTGCAAGGGTTGATAATATTGCAATCAAATTTGAGTTCATGAAATACAGACCTTGCAATAATTCAGATCAGATATCAGTAAAAATTATTTGCCAAAAATTAAGGGAAAACTTAATTTATTTGGAATATTTTATCTTTTTCAAAGGTACACTGTTAAATTATAATCTAATACATGTAATAACTTTTCTTGCACGTCTCAAAAACAAGACATTCAAACAAATTTAGATTAAGAGAATAAATGCTTTGTACTGCAATCATTTGTATATGCAATTTACTTTTTTAAAATTCTATAAAAGTGCAAAAACTCCCCGTAAAACTATTTCTTTTATTTGTAGAAGTAGATATACACAAAGTCTGAAGTAAATATACAAAATGTTAAGTCTTTCAGCAATCAGGCACATTTAAACCGAGATTAAAATTGGAGGATTAGGGATATTTAAGAAAAAATACATATGGTACATCAGCGCATAAAAATGATATACAGCTGTAGTGAAATCCACGCTGGAGTCCCTCTGAGGTGTGCATTTTGTTTTCATGAAATTTGTAATAAAATAATGGATCTGTTATACACGTGCATATGTATAAATTGCATGATGTTTATGACATAAAAAGATGAAGTAAAATGTTCACCCTTTACGAGGAATATGACATTTCTAATTTTGACCATATTTTAATAATTTGTGCATGTAACTCTTTTCTATGTATATTGATGAAAAATGAACTCAAGAGTACGGAAAATTTTAGAAAGCAATGTTGATTAGTTTTCACTCTAGACTACTTGTCCACGATTTTACTGGACAACCCTCGTATGTTCAGTTTTGTTGAAATCATGACCCCCTGGGAAAGGGTGGCTCCACAATGGAAAATCAAAGTTTAACATAGAAAAAATCTTTTCCTCAGAAACAGCAAAGTCATGATTAGTCATATTTATAAAATAAAAAACAGATAGTGTAGATTCAAGATTTACATAACATAAAATTCCATATTTTGTTTATTTGAGCATATATCTATTTGAAATTTGCTATGTATATTGAAGAAAAGTGTATTAAACAGTAGGGGAAATGTTAGAAAGCAGTGTTGATTATTTGTCGCTCTAAACTACTTGTCCACAATTTTACCCGACAACCCTAGAATCGTCCATACCCTACCCTGGTTCCATGGAAGTTCCAAAAGTAATTGAAAAGAGGTGCCGTTTATTTAGAAAGAAGTAAATAATATTTATTTAGGATGCTTTGTGCGAAATGTTGTCAAAATTAGCTCGATGTTTTATTGATTATCATATTTTTATCAGTATTTTCTGCTTACGTCTGGAAATAAAATGACTAATAGAATAAAAGAAGCCTCTGTTGAAATATTTTGCCGTCAGAATGACACAGATTCATTATCTTGATTTTCGAGAGGAATTGTTCTCCGAACAATTAAAAATAATTTAAAGATTTACTGGCAGCGTGAAAGAGTATAGTTTTAAATTTTAAATTACACTATGTATGTCATATTACTTTTTAAAAACTGAAACTCCTTTGAGTAAATTCACGATTTGACATATTTTGCAATATCGAATAATTGTATCTGCATCACGATTTTTGCTCTAATTTGTTTTTTTTTCTTTGTGGAGTATATATATAAAGCCATACAAACCAGGGAGTCCGGCAGAAGTTCCAGGAACCGTCATCCGTCCAAAATGAGGTTCACACTCTGTCTTCTGGTAGTTCTCTTTGGAGTTGCATTGACATTTCCAACAAAAGTAAGTTAATTCTTATATAAGTATTTTAAGTATTTATATAAGTATTTTATGTTTTTATATTATGTGTGGTAAGTAGTAGTTTTTCCGTTCCACACATGCATTCGGCTGCATTTTTTATTTCGTAGCAATTATAAAAACAAGGATTCTTTTAATTGATCTTTCTGAACAGAAAGGATTATCTATTATAGTTAAGAAGAATAGCTTTCGCTCTAGGTGCACCTGAACCAAAATGTATGTATGTGTATTTTATAATCTTAATAAATCAGCAAATAGAATTAAACTGACAAACGACCTGATTGTTTGCATAAAAAAATAACATTCCAAGCAAGGATCGAACCAAATACTTTTCCGAAGCCGAGTGTTCTGGAGTGGAACCGCACATTACTGAGCTATCACTGCTTGACAATGAATGTGGATTTTATATATAATGACAATGAAGCACCGCATTTACACAATGGGATTTTTTTAAGGGAAAGTTCATTTTTTATGGCCTCTGGGTCTTCTTTTCATTTCTTATAAATATTCGCTCGTTTCTTTGAATTAATTTGCACATAAATAACATTTTAAATCGTGGAGAGATGACCCAAAGATAGTAAATTTTAAGAAAAATATGTTTAAAAATGTAACATTTTGTACCAAATAACTCATCTAGCAATATTTCAAGTTATATTTCAAGCTAATTAAAACACATTATTAGGAAAGAATTTCCATTTCCTATTTCACAGGAACGTAATACATTAAAAGAATGCAAAAATTTCTTGTGAAGTTCAATAAAATTTCACTTTTCCAGAGCGCTAAGATTCCTGCCGAATGCCAATTAAAACGCCCTCATTCTTTCAAAATATAAGATGTGTAAAAGGCAGTTGCAAATGACAACTTTTTATGACAATAACCTTGGTGTGTATCTTTACTGAAAATAGAATAAGTGTTTACTCTTCAATATTTTATTCTCATCATCTTCTTTCGAACAATTTATTTTTTAAAAGGGAGGAAAGAGAAAAGGGCCACGTCCAGGGGAGAATGAATTGTTAGAAGATCTACGTGAGTTATTGACGGAGAGTGAAAGTGGTTACAATCAAAGACAGAGGCCTCCTTCTGGTGATGAAGATTCTAAAGAGGGACAAAGAGAGGGAGGGCCTGGAGGACAACGAGAAAGTCAGGATGAAGAAGGCAATCGAAGAGGTCGACGACCTGGTGGTAAAGGTAGAGAAGATCAAGAAAAGAGGGAAGAGAGTGAAGGCGATAACAAACGAAGACCAAGACCTCCTTCTGGTGATGAAGATTCTAAAGAGGGACAAAGAGAGGGAGGGCCTGGAGGACAACGAGAAAGTCAGGATGAAGAAGGCAATCGAAGAGGTCGACGACCTGGTGGTAAAGGTAGAGAGGATCAAGAAAAGAGGGAAGAGAGTGAAGGCGATAACAAACGAAGACCAAGACCTCCTTCTGGTGATGAAGATTCTAAAGAGGGACAAAGAGAGGGAGGGCCTGGAGGACAACGAGAAAGTCAGGATGAAGAAGGCAATCGAAGAGGTCGACGACCTGGTGGTAAAGGTAGAGAAGATCAAGAAAAGAGGGAAGAGAGTGAAGGCGATAACAAACGAAGACCAAGACCTCCTTCTGGTGATGAAGATTCTAAAGAGGGACAAAGAGAGGGAGGGCCTGGAGGACAACGAGAAAGTCAGGATGAAGAAGGCAATCGAAGAGGTCGACGACCTGGTGGTAAAGGTAGAGAAGATCAAGAAAAGAGGGAAGAGAGTGAAGGCGATAACAAACGAAGACCAAGACCTCCTTCTGGTGATGAAGATTCTAAAGAGGGACAAAGAGAGGGAGGGCCTGGAGGACAACGAGAAAGTCAGGATGAAGAAGGCAATCGAAGAGGTCGACGACCTGGTGGTAAAGGTAGAGAGGATCAAGAAAAGAGGGAAGAGAGTGAAGGCGATAACAAACGAAGACCAAGACCTCCTTCTGGTGATGAAGATTCTAAAGAGGGACAAAGAGAGGGAGGGCCTGGAGGACAACGAGAAAGTCAGGATGAAAAAGGCAATCGAAGAGGTCGACGACCTGGTGGTAAAGGTAGAGAGGATCAAGAAAAGAGGGAAGAGAGTGAAGGCGATAACAAACGAAGACCAAGACCTCCTTCTGGTGATGAAGATTCTAAAGAGGGACAAAGAGAGGGAGGGCCTGGAGGACAACGAGAAAGTCAGGATGAAGAAGGCAATCGAAGAGGTCGACGACCTGGTGGTAAAGGTAGAAAAGATCAAGAAAAGAGGGAAGAGAGTGAAGGCGATAACAAACGAAGACCAAGACCTCCTTCTGGTGATGAAGATTCTAAAGAGGGACAAAGAGAGGGAGGGCCTGGAGGACAACGAGAAAGTCAGGATGAAGAAGGCAATCGAAGAGGTCGACGACCTGGTGGTAAAGGTAGAGAGGATCAAGAAAAGAGGGAAGAGAGTGAAGGCGATAACAAACGAAGACCGAGACCTCCTTCTGGTGATGAAGATTCTAAAGAGGGACAAAGAGAGGGAGGGCCTGGAGGACAACGAGAAAGTCAGGATGAAGAAAGCAATCGAAAAGGTTCACGACGGGGTGGTCAAGGTGACAACGAGGAGGTATTTCTGTTGTGTTCAAAAATTTAATTTTATACAAATTACACAGATGTTTTTATTTAAAAGTTAGATGACACATTTCTTGGTACTGTTTATTAAAACTCTACTGATACGAAAGTTAGGTTTAAGGATGTTTGTGTGAAAAAACATAAGTATATTAATAAGTTTTTATGTTATCTAACTTTGATAACTAAATGCACGGCACTTAATCGTCGTTTTCAGTTCTAAAGCATATGTTGTGTCTTCTTTGAAACTACTGGAATTCTATTCCAAGATGTAGCATCTCTGAGTATCGAGAAAAAGAGTCGTACAATATTGAAGGCAGCATTAATAATTTCTTTTGCTCCAGGTATTAAGCAGTCAAGCTGAATGAAAAGGTCAATTGCGATACGTTATGTATCCAAAGGCGTGCCTTACATATTAGAGGGGGGGGGGGGGTCTTAACAAACTGAATTGGACTCTCTTGAAATGCATTTAATCTCTATGGCACTCTTATTTCTGAAAGATAATATTTTGTCAAATTAAATCCTGTATATGTTATAGATTATTCATATTAATACATAATATAAAGATACGTGCAAACGTTATTAATATGATTGAAATCTTAGACCCTGTCTCATTTATTATAAAAAGGAACCGAAACAAACTGTTGTTATTCGTATGATTAGTCTATGCAGCCTCCCTCCCCTGTAATGATAAATAAATGAAAGGAATATCTTTTTCGGGGATTTTATTTAAAAGTAGAAGGACATTTATGACAAGGAATATAGTTACGCCGCTTCATATTTTTCATTATTAATAATCTTTCATATCATTAATGAAGGGCGGAAAGAGGAAAAAAAGGCCACAAAAAGACGAGGAGGAGCGTGCATTGCTGGAGGAACTACGTGAGGTAATGAGGGAAAAGGAAGAGAATTCAGCAGGAGAACGTTCAAAAGATGATGGGAAAGGAGGTAGACGCCAAAGACCAGCCAAGAATGGGGGACAGGACGAAGAAGGTCAGAGACGAGAACAAGTTCGAGGCAGAGAAGATGGCGAAGGAGACAGACGACGACCATCTGGTGAAGGAAGAGGACCACAGAAAGAGGGAGATGATCAAGAAAGGGTACCACGATGGAGGAAAATGTTCAATGACTTGTTTTAAAGGACAGTGAAAAATCTGCGTTTTAATTCTGCTACTTTGTGCCTGAATATTTTTTTCTTCCTAGAATATCTCTGTGTTTACAGTTCTCTTTTTAACTGAGTTTTTTTTTTAATTTTGAGATAAATTTTAATAAAATTATTTTCAGCAGCAGAGAACTGTTTGTTATGAATATTATTCTAATATTCTTGGATGTATATTCGTTTGTAATTGATAATGATTAATTATCCAAGATGTAACTATGAATCAATCCCTTATATTTATCTATTATTCAGTCATTCATTAATGTAATACGTATTATCATTTATAGAATTATAATTAAAAAAGAAGCCAAATCAAAATAAATAAATAAATAATATATATATATATAAAAATAAATTAAGGAGTATTTGGTTAAATTGATTTTAAAATGCAAAAATGCAATTCATTATCATTTATTGAAATATAAAAGCCAAATAATAAAAATAACAATTTAAGGAGAGTTTGAGATAAAAATGGAAAGCAGTTATAAAGTATAGCTGAAATTGATTTTAAAATGCAAGATCATTACTAAAAATGTGAGGTATGAAACTAATTGTAATCAAGATAGACTTCCTAACATTTACCACGAACAAGATCACATGAGGAGCCCGACATTATCTGCATAAATATCATGCTTGATTGACTTGGTTTCAACATTTCTGATTTTTTCTTTGTAAGAAAAGCTGAAAGTATGCATTGAAGAAATCGTTATGACAACGGACTCATTTTAAGGAGGAATCCTTCTAAATTAAACGATATAAATGAAATATATACACTGTAGTTTATATATATATATATATATATATTGTTACGTGCCGATAGGTTTACCTGTGAAATTCGGATTAACTGTTGTTGACAAGTTCCGAATAAACGGACCCTGAACCCGATGTGCATAAACTACTAAAATATTTGTCAATGAACAATGAACGAAAGAATTGAACAATAATTGATTTATGTATTGTAATGACAAAGCGTTATATTGTATATGTTCTGTATAGGTACAACGTTATTTAGTAATTTTAGTGGTTAAAACCCGCTAACATACAAATCAGATATTAATTGTGACGTTATTGGTATCTGACGTTTATACGTCATCATAACAACTTTTGTCTATATAAGACAGCTGCTTTGTGTTTAGAAGTCAGTCTGCATTGGGTTGCGACTCCGTATACTTCGGGTGTAAGACAGTGGTATGTACAAACAGTACCAAGTCTATGTATACGAAATCATTAGTGAAGAGTCATTTAGAGTAGAAACGTCCTGGATTGACCATTGGTTCGTCATCTTTGTATTAATCAAATAACGTTGTACCAGCCAAGTGTATCATTGTGTTTATAACTGAACCATTTGATCGTCTTAATAAATATCATAAACTTTACAACGTGTTATTCATCACGGTTCTAGTGCAGATATTATAGTGAACTAAAATTTGGTCATTTCGCCAATTATTCAGTGGACCAAAAATTGGTCATTATTCCGATTGTATATAAACTTTGTGGACAACCATTTCAACCTTGACCAGTTACCAGTAACCAACAGCGGCCCACGATTAAAATGATTAAGTAATAACCTTATACCCTCGGTTTCGTTACATTGGTGGCAGCGGTGGGATAAGCTGTTCAAGAAAATTGTGACACTTAAAAAAATATAAAGATGTCGAGGAACGACGAAGTTATGGAGGAAAATGACCATATTTCAGGACCACAAGAGCATCAATTTATCGAAGGTACTCCAAGCAGAGAAGTACTTTTGCGGGTTAATAACAACGACCAAATAGGAGATGGCAGCGGAGTAAATTCATGTACACAGGACAGTTTACACACAATTCTAAATGAATTAAAAACTTTGAAGTCACAAATGAATTTATTACAAAAACAAGTGAGACCAACATGTGCTGACAGCCAACATGTAGACCAAAACAATGTGCGATTTTATACCAATACCACGTCTGAAGAGGACCGAATACGGAACGAACATCGACCACATAGATATACATCTCTACAAAATTCATATGACGAATCTCGTGATTATGAAGATTCAGGAACAAATTGGTCAAACCCGATGGTATCACGCAGCTTTACTAACAATGCTAGAACCAACGAATTTCAGCCAACCATGCGCAGCTTTGAGTACGATGTACCAAATTATGGTCACACAAGACAAGTCAATGACCACAGATTCAGGCGAACACCAGAACCAAAAGGGAGAAAACCAGCAACATTTGATGGTGCCATGAACTGGAACGACTACATAGTTCATTTTGACATGATCGCCCAATTAAACTACTGGGATGAGGAAACGAAGGCATTAGAGTTGGCTACCAGTCTTCGCGGCCCGGCATTAAGCGTGTTGAGTGATCTACGACCAGAATATCGATATAATTTTCGCCAACTTGTTTCCGCACTTTCAGCGAGATTTGACCCAGAAAACCAAACAGAGATCCACAAAGCACAACTTAAGAGTCGAATACGGAAGAGAAACGAAACTATCACAGAATTAATGCAAGACATAAAACGACTTGTGAGGATGTCATATCCAAACGCACCTTTAGGTTTCCGTGACCAAATATCCAAAGATTCGTTCATCGAAAGTTTAAATGACCAAGAAATGGAATGGGCAGTGTTTCAAGGAAGACCTAAAAACCTAGAAGATGCAGTGCGACTGGCATTGGAATTTGAGGCCTTTCAACAAGCACGGGGGAGGCGAAATAAAGTTGCAGTACGTATGCAGAGAGAGGAACCAATGAACATAGATGGAAACGAGGATTATACACATCAAGTAGCTATGATCAGCCAAAACAAAGATAAGAAATTTTACAAGAAAGGTCCCTGTTTCTACTGTAAGAAAGATGGTCACATCAAAAGTGAATGCAGATTACTACAACGACATCTCAAAGATGAAAAAGACAGAAATCAAAGAAAACCAGATTACACGAAAAACGTGAAAACCAGAGAACCTGAGAACCAGGAAAACGCACAGTAGTTGACGTCGGCGGCCTAACGTCAACTACACAACAGAAAGGGCCACATGTTTTTGAAATAAAGGGTTCCAATAATAACTCATTAACAATGGATGTGTTTGTTAACAATGTTAAAATTAACTGTATTATTGACACTGGTTCAGCTATCACAGTTATTCACCCAAAGAAATACTACGAAATAGATAGAAGTGTAAGACCTAAATTAACGCCAAACCATAACAACTTACGAATGGCAAATGGTGAACTAGTGGTACCAGAAGGTCAGACTATACTTCAAATTCGTATCAATGGAGAAATTATACAACATAGAGTGGCTGTCGCTGACGTTGAAGCACAGATGATCTTGGGTTTTGATTTTCTTAAAGAGCATAACTGTCAGTTACATTTGGGTGAAGGAACTCTTACCTTGGGAAACAAGAAATTATCATGTTACCTTAACATTGAACAAAGTCATGTGTTCCAAATTTCCGTACAAGGAGCTTTACTACATAATAGTGATGGACTAAATCATCGACCATGTGCACCTTGTAACTACTGTGATAAGAAGGAGACAAACGACCAGACCAAAGAGGACGATGATAATCTAGTATTAAAGTTAAAAGAAGACCAAACAGACACTCGAATTTGGTACATGACAAAGACGAAAGAAGACCTACAAAAGGAGCAGAATTCAGATCCAATATTAGCCAAAATAATAAAGTGGAAGACAGAGGACAACAGACCAACATGGCAGAAAATAGCAAAGGAACCAACAGAGCTTAAGACATATTGGTCACAATGGAACCGGCTGATATTAAGAAATGGAGTACTCTTCAGGACATGGGAAGAAAATGAACAAATCTTTTACCAGATGGTGGTACCGAAAGCATGTGTTAAAGAAATACTTAAGTTGGTACATGACGACCCTACGGGTGGACATTTGGGAATCTCCAAAACTACCGAGAAAATAAGAGAAAGGTTCTACTGGGCATCTTACAAAAAAGATGTTGAGAAGCATATCAGAGGTTGTACCTTTTGTGAAGCAAGGAAGAATACAGCAAGTGCAGCCAGAGGAAAACTGGGTCAGTATTTAGTTAGGAAACCACTGGAACGAGTGGCCATTGACATCCTTGGTCCTTTACCACGGACCAAGAAGGGTAACAAGTATGTTGTTATCATTTCGGATTATTTCACCAGATGGATAAAAACTTATCCGGTCAAAAACCAAGAGGCAATAACCATTGCAAAGGTTTTTGTAGATGAATTTATTTCAAGGTATGGAGTCCCACTCCAGGTTCATACTGGCCAAGGCAAACAGTTTGAGTCGAAGTTGTTTCAAGACTTGTGTAAGATGTTACAAATAAAGAAAAGAAGAAAAACCCCATTCAATCTGAAGAGTGATGACCTAGTAGAGAGATTCAATCGAACGCTAGAAGATATGATAAGCAAGTATGTACAACCTAACCAAAAGAATTGGGACGAAGTTTTGCCATTTCTGATGCTTGCCTACCGATCATCAGTTCAAGAGACCACAGGATACAGTCCAGCAAGATTAAACTCTGGAACAGAGATAAAAGTACCTATTGACCTTGTTTATGGTCACAATCTATGGGAAACTTGTCCTGAAATCTGCCATAAGTTCGTCGACAAGATGAAAACCAACTTAGAGGACATCCATGAGAAAGCCAGCAGAAAAATGATATTCGCGAACGAGAACCAGAAACGAAAATATGACACCAAGGCAAACCAGATTCAGTACACCCCAGGACAACATGTGTGGATTGCATCAAAATCAAGGACCAAAGGAAGATGTCCCAAACTTCAGGTTCATTGGAATGGACCCTATGTAGTGTTACGTGCTGTGTCCGATTTGATATACAAAGTGAAAAAGTCTAAAGCCGAGAAACCAAAATATGTGCATCATGACCAGATGAAGCTGTTCCGTTGTGAAGCAGATGAGAATCTATCTCTGTAACGTGCATCTCTAAAAGATATAAAAAAAATTCTTGATTGACTAAGCACC